CAACAGGGCAACACCAACAGCATAACCCAATGTAGCTCTCTCTCTTGAATGGCGCCAGGCGCCCTACCTACTCTACAGCCTAAGCCTACAACTACAGAATGAAAGCAACCAGACAACTTGACGACCAGCGAGTGATGATGTCAACACCAATGCCGACCTCCACCTCCACCAGGTACGTCTCTCTTCCTTCACCCACACTCTTCCTTGTTATCCCACACAGCGCCCTTCACCTCCGAAGAACCACCTTCGCCCTCACCTCTCCTGCGCCCTCCAGCAGCCCGGCTATGGCCGCCAGCGCCCTGTGCACAGGCAGCGCCCTACCGCCTAGCGCCTGCCTGCCTCGCACCTCATCCTAGCGCAGCGCAGCAGTGCAGCAGCTCGCATTAGCGCAGCGTGCCGGCATTGCCCGCAATGGCCAAGATCCCTGCCCACTCGCCCTGCTTGCCTATATGCCAGTGTTGCGTGTGGGCAGCCTCCCTTCAGCCTGCGACTGGGCCCCAGTGCCTGAACCCAGGCCTGATGTGGTTGGGGCCCAGGCGATGCAGTTGCGCCTCTTTCATCAAGGCCTGCGGCCAGATTCAGATAGTGGGCCGATTTCCCATTGGCATTTTCGGCCTCTACATCCATCATGCATTGTAGGCCTCACGTTTATGTGCCCAGGGCCTAATCAACTCAGGGGCCCTGGGACTTCCGCATTTGCAGAGATCGGAGACTCGGTGCACTCCAACCAACTGGCGTGCTGCAACTGTATGGACCCCACTTCGTGAAATGTTCGCACAGAGGGCTCTTGTTGATTTGCTGGCCCGCCTTCACTTAGGGCGGGCACTAGGCTTGCTGGGGCCTTAGCCCAGAACATGTACATCATGGCAAGGCCCCTTCTTGAGGGCTCAATCCTCACAATAGCCGTATCTGGTACAATTTCGAGTCCAGATACAGCTATAATGACCGGGCGTTCTATTCGGGTGAAGACGGTAGTGATGAATAAGTTAAACTCCTGTCTGATGCTGTCATGTCTGGCCTCCATTGGAAAAGAACCAAGTTCAGTCAGCCAGGGTTCATGTATGAGGTATAGGATGCGTGGATGGAAATGGTAGAAAGAAAAGTTTGGACCATTTCTCGATTTGTCCGTGTCATCCTTCCGCAGAGGTGATGCTTATCTTTGTATGTATCGTCCCGAGCTTGACGGTTGATGCGAAGGACTTAAGACCACAGAATGAAGTTGAACTGGAAGGACAAACACGCGACCATTGTTGTTTTTGTGAGTGACGATGGGTATACGTAAAACATGTACGTGTTGTTTGGCGTGCACTACTCAGAAGAACTTAGTGCGGCGACAAGCAGGTAGGCAAACGACCACCAGTTTGTACAGTAAGCAGCAACTGCAACTCCAACGGCTACAGTCTAATTATACGCAGTCTTCAGATCGCTTTCGCTTCAGCTGCAATTCTATGACATTGTGTTACGTTGAGATTCCAATCTGGTGCCTGTCTGCAAAAGAAGCTCCTGGATATGGTCCTCTGATGTGACAGCTTGTTGGCAGATGCCTGTTGCTATCTTTTCAGGGCAAACAAGCTGCGTTTCCCAGTGTTACTATTGCCGGTCGCTAAGTCACTGTGCTGTTCTTTGTCTTGTCTTGTAATATAAGCCCCCATTTCAATCCTCTGCTGCCTGGCACAACTAGCACCATGACACTTGGAATAATGGTTGCCTTTAGTTAAATTGAGTATCTGCTGTGTACGAGTGACACTTTCAAATTGCTTGCGAAGGCGGATGCATGGGATGTACCTGGATGTCCCCGTGTTTGTTGCCCGCTTGCCTGCCTGTCTTGCTGCTGCTGCCTCCCTTGTCTGTCCTGTGTATGAGTTGTTGCTTCACTCTCTGTGATGCTGTCCTCTGGCTGCCCGACCATTTTCCTGGCTGCCTTTGCTGTCCGGATGGCTGCCTTGTGGGGCAACTTCTTGCCGTTTTTATCCCGCCCCATAAGTCATTGCTGCTTGTTGTCTATCCGATGCTTATTATGTGTCTGGGCGAGTCTCTATCAGTCAGCCTGGCTCTCCATGTGACCCCTGCATGTCTTTCCCACTCCTTGTGATGTTTTGACAAGGGGCCTTAGCAATTTCCGCAGCAAACATGAGCAAAGCCTCTTTCAGTGGAAAGATCAGTGATGGCATGTGGTCTTTAGACTTCGGTTTGTTTTTCTTTTTCATGTGTACATGTCCGGCCTTGTGATGTTCTGAATGATTGTCCTAGCAATTCCAAAAACGAACTTTGAGTGAACCGTTATCTAGTGGAATGATCAGTCACTCTTTGTTGTTGGTACAGTTCTTAAGCCTGACGACCCCTCGTGCCTTGGTACTGTTTTCTCTGTCCCTTGTTTTCTGTATTCATCTGTGTACACACGCTTGACCTTGTGATGTTCTGATCAGTTGCCTTAGCAATTGCAAGAATGAACTTGACCGAACCATTATCCAGTGGAATGGTCAGTGAATCGTTGATGGCGAGACAGTTCTTCAGCATTACCCATATTGCCTTGATACTGCTTTTTCTGTCACCCCTGTTTGTGTATTCATCTTCGACAGGGCCCTTCATTGGCAGCTGTTTTGGCCAGTCCACCAACTCGATTCGTTCTGAAATGGGGAGGTGGTCTGGCAGCTCTTTCCCTTGGCAAGCATGAAGCCAGTGTGGTGCTCTCCTATAGCCCCTTTGATGCGACAGGAGTTGCTCTTAGCAATAGGCATGCATCGGGCAACATGCAGTCTGTGTCTCGCGCATCAGTCCACCCTGGTGGATTGTCATCATCACAAGGGTCTTTACTACAAGGCAGTGTAACTGTCAAACCAGGGGAGCCCAAGGCCGAACTCCATTCAAAGGAACGGTCTGCATTGCTGATAAAGCTTGTTGGGAATCTTCACTATTATGCCGAGGGTGGAGGTAGGTCGTTGTTTCTCAAGCGTTTGATTGTTGCCCCCATGAACGTGGCATCCGGCAGGTTGGGTGGGTGAATGACATATGTCCAGTGGGGCATTGATTATAGATGTGGATGCCGGTGTGTCGGGTGGTGGTGGTGAGAGAGACAGACACACACACACACACACACACACACACACACACACACACACACACAGAGAGAGAGNCAAGCGTTTGATTGTTGCCCCCATGAACGTGGCATCCGGCAGGTTGGGTGGGTGAATGACATATGTCCAGTGGGGCATTGATTATAGATGTGGATTCCTGTTTGGCGGGTGGTGGTGGTGAGACAGAGCAACACACACAGAGAGACACAGACACAGAGAGAGACACACACACACACAGAGAGAGAGAGAGAGAGAGAGAGAGAGAGAGAGAGAGAGAGAGAGAGAGAGAGAGAGATGCCATTTGACATGGCACTTGAGAAGAAGAGCATGAACTGAGGGAGAAGGGACAATTGTTCTATTTATTGATCCAATTGTAGAGTTATTTTCTTCCATAATTGATCATATTCTGGAGTTGTTTTCTTCCTCTTACTTCCTCATCAGCCTTTTTTTTTTTTCCTGGTTCTGTTTTGAAATTTGGAACATTTCTTGATTCATGCTTGCATCCTTGCGCAGGGACCATGCCAATCCTGTCTGTATCATTCCAATTTTAACGGATGCTGGAGGACACTTCCTCTCAGTCTGGTCGTACAGCATTATTGCTCTCTCTGATCAGTTGTCGTTCATTTGAGCTTTGAGAGCACATGCATGATGATGATGCTGTAACTTCCAAGCTTCGAGAAACGTGTTCATTACAGATCGTATGTGTGGGTGTGCAAACCCACAGCAGTTTAAGAGAATCACAGCATCAGTTTATATGTGTTTTACAAGGGGCAGGTGTGATGATAGGCATCTGTGATTTTGGGAGGCGATCAATGCGTCTCTCAATAAGAATTGGAGGTGGTGATTGAAGGAGCAGTAAAGATTGGGAGATTGAGGTTCTGCTACAAATGTTCTGGTGGTGATCTGGACTTCATACCCCATTACACCACTTTTTTTCCCTTTTTTTTTCCCCACCTGGTTTGCTGCTTTGGAGGTTTGGTGTGGCATACTGCGCATCCGCACAGGACTGCAAGGCCCGACAAAACAAGGAAAGTAAGGGCCCTACAGGTCCTGTGTCATTTTCAGCCTGGAAGTCTGAAAACAACGGCCTACAGGCCCTGTGTCGTTTTCAACCTGAAAGCCTGAAAACAAGGGCCTACAGGCCCTGTGTCGTTTCAGCCTGAAAGCCTGAAAATGAGGGCGTACAGGCCCTGTGTCGTTTCAGCCTAAAAGCCTGAAAACGAGGGCCATTTTCAGGCCCTCATAACGTTGACCTGCCCTGAAACTTAGGCACCAGACCAGGTAGCACAGACCATTTTTGGCCTGTTTTCAAGACAACCCTTGTTTGAACTTAACACCAGGGTCTGGCATGTTTTGGCGTTGGCAAGAGCAGCCTCCTGGACGGGCCAGCACTATATAAGACTGGCCCGCCCTGCAGGCTGCAGGCAGTCACAAGGCAGTCACGAGGTAGTTCATAGGAACTTCCCAGGCACTTCACATGCAGGAGGCAGAAGGCAGTCTTCAGGATTCGGCAGCAGCACTCTGGAGGAGCGCTGCCGTAGTAGTAGTAGTAGCGTTAGCAGTAGTCTTCAGTGCTGGGCGCTATTAGGAGCTAGAATAGCGTTGGAGAGAGAGAGATTGAGAGAGATGGTTGGCGGATGCCAGGGAGACTTACCTGTGGCGCCATAGCTCCAGCTTCGTCTTCGATGTACCTGCGACAAGGCGCCACCTTCACAGGTTAGTACCGGACTGAGAGAGAGAGAGAGAGTTCTTTTTCTTCCTCTTCTAAGTCCACCATCTCTCCCTCACCCTCTCGCTACCTAACTTCTCAGTACCTGCAGACTACGAGAGAGAGAGAGAGAGATTGGTGAATTTGGGACTTGACGACGTTTGGATCCAGACTCGACATTGGGATTCAGACATTGGACGAGGGATTATTTGGGACCTGTACCGAAGACTTGGTGTTGACGACATTCCCATCTTCCCCTCTTCTTCGTCTAACCCCCCTCTTCTTCGTCTGTGTATGGTTGGGGACTGGTGCATTCTTCCTGTGTGAGCGCCGGGCCCCTTCACATCATGGAATGATGATGATGTCTGTTTGGGCTGCATTGCAACATTCATTGTTCGGATCATTGGTATTTAAGCCTTCCGCTGCGCTATCTTGTACTATGTGAGAGAGGTCGGTTCTTGTTCTGGTCTGCGCCGTTACGGTATGCGACAGTTTGGTATCGGAGCGGACCTCTCAATTAGAGGATCCGCCCAATCAAGTAGCCAGCTTGCTTGATCTTCTGATGGTTGAATGATTGATTGATTGATTTGCAATCAGACTTGTTCTCATTTACACTTTTCATGCATGTAAACAGCAGCACAGCAAACTGGCGACATGCGTCCACTCAAAACTCAGAGATATGGCTTCCAGATACGCGTTCACTTTCAACTGGCTATGGCTCAGCGCCCAAACAACTCACTGTTCACACACCGGATCATCCTGGATATCCCACACGCATAACTCTGAACACTCACATATACACTCACATATACACTCACACACCTCACACTAACTACAGCTATGGCAGCTATGGCTGCCTCTACCCTATCGCTATACTAAGCTCCTTCTGTCTCGCCCACTGCGTCCTCCGGGCTCACTGCAGACCTCCTTGCACAAGTCGCTGTGACAGCGCTTCCACATGGCTCACGCAGGAATGAATGCAAGGCTGGGCGCTGCCTCTTGATTTATACTTCAGAAACTCGTTGGTCTGCCCCTGCCATCGGCCCCTGGTGCTCACAGTCCCCCGTGGTACTTGCTGGACCGGACTGGGACTCACTGGACCCTACCACTGACTGTCTGTGGACTCACTGCTATCCTACGGTCGTCGTACTGCGATTGCACTGCAGTTTAGTCCACCACTTGCCTCACCACTTGCCTCACCACTTGACCACTTGCCCACTTGCCGACCTTCTAGAAGGACTACAGCTAGACTTCTGGAACCTGCTAAGACTTCTACTCTATAGACCTACAGATCGAACCTCTGCTGCTTATGGACCTACGACAGACCTACCAACTGTYTACGAATACACAGGTCACAGGTTCAACTCTCGGGGTCTACACAGATACTGTACATGGGTAGGGTGAGGTCTAGGGATCGAACCCTGGGTACTGCATCTGCTACTGCTAAAAGGTGAAAACCGTTTCACTCCCGCCGTCCTAAATTCGAGGTCCCCCGAGAATATTTCAGTCCAAGGCAGGACCTTTACCCTTCTTGTCGCGCTCATAGGCTCTGACTATGTCGGGAGCTGTCTTTAGAAGTTCTGTTCGCGTAAACCAGCGATCGTCTTCCGGTTCCTGATAGGCAAACCGAACTTTGTATTGTCTTTGGGGATGACCTCTACCTCCTGTTCTAAACACATCCTCATCTACAATGCCCTTTATGTCATAGCTTCCATTCATATCCGTGGGGATCATGGACCTTCTTGAAGGAAATTGTTGGCTTGTGACACACGGCAACAACTTTGAGGCATGGAACACCGGGTAAGTGTGGAGGTGTGATGGGATCTCAATAGTGTAGGACGGTCCATCTTCTCCGCCCTTGACTTTTAGAACCAGCCACGGTCCTCTATATGCAGGCTGTAACTTCTGTGAGATGTTTTCCTCAGGTGCAAACCCTTTAGCCTTGACCCAGACTAAGTCGACTATCTGAAACTGCGACGGACGGCGGTGCTTATTAGCCTGTTCTATCATTCTATGCTGGGCTTTCCTGAGGTTCTCAACAACAGTTGCTAATTCTTTCTCATGCTGTATCGCAAACTCCCTGATACCGAGCGGCAGCCTGTGAATCTTATCCCGGTTTAGTCCTTCGAACGGTCTGCGTGGTCTAAAGGATTTGTGCAGCTCATTGGGAGTGCGGCAGGTGGATAGATGCACACTGTTGTTGTTTGCACTAGCTACCTTAGGCACCATCTCATCCCAGTTGATCTGATCTGGTCTAATGTACATGCACAGAACTTGTTGTAGGATCTTGTTCATCTGTTCTGTCCGATCGTTATTCTCTGGGTGGCGGCCAGACGACATCAACAACTTAGATCCGTAGACTCTCATGAGTTCTTGCCAGTTCTGGCTGGTGAAGCGACTATCTCTATCGCTAAGTATTGACAATGGGATKCCATTCTCACTAACCCAAAAGTCAAAGAACTTTTGTATAACTAAATTTGTACGTGCCTCTGCAGGCGAAGGAACAAAAACTGCATACTTACTAAAACGGTCAACTATGACCATGACTTGGCTCTTACCATGTCTGCTCTTGACTTGGGTGTCCATGAAGTCTATGGACACTGAGTCTCCCGGCTGATCTGGAATAGGCAAGGGTCTGAGAAGACCTAGGGCTGCGCGCGTAGTAGTCTTATTGCGCCGGCATACTTTGCAACTGCCAGGTGTACGCACGCATCAGGTTGGCTAAAGTCTTTTGCTAACCGAAATGTCCCTCAGTATCGTGGCATTCCCCAAGGATCAGACTACGAATCTCTTCGTTGTTGGGAACGCACAGGCGGTCAAATACATTAGTCTTCTCAAGTAGTAATCCCTCTGTAGTGCGGTAATCTGGCTCAGTCTCCGGGGCCTCTGTAACTCTCTTTAGGAGGTCGCTATAGATAGGGTCCTGCGCATACGCTTGCTTCACTTTCTCGTGCAGGTCTCTCCCTATATCCAGATAGTGCACTATAGGTCCAAAGTAGTCTGATCTCCTACTCAGAGCGTCCGCAACTACGTTGTACTTGCCCTTCACTGGCTTAAGCTCAAAGTCATATTGGTCTATCTCTGCGGCCCACCTAGTCAACTTAGGTGTCATCTTGGCCTGAGTCTTTAACCACCTAAGGGTCTCATGG